GGCTCAGGGTTGACTCAGCCTTCCATCCTTCCGAGGTGGGTGAAATGAGGACCCAGACTGTGGGGGGCGATATGCTGACTCTGTAAACCGCTTAGGGAGGGCTGAAAGCCCTATGAAGCGGTATATAAGTCTAACTGCTATTGCTAATGTGAGCATGCATGTACATTTACTAAGCCTTCTGCACATGTGCTTTTCACTTAAAAGGGGCCTAAATGGGATGCCATAGTGGGCAGGGCCACCCGCGATTTCTGCTACCGTTTCAGACAAACCAGTCTGAATCGGCAGAATACCACCTCTGGCTCAAGACTGTCTCCAATGCACCTGAAAAAAGTGTCAATCTTTGGCAGATATCGGGGCGGAAAAGGAATAGATGCTTTTGCAAATCCATTTCCGCAGAACATTGTTTAATCTGGGCATTGTTCTGATAGTATTTTTGCCGCTTGGTGTGATTATCAGGCTAAATTATACTTTTTTAAAAGAACCCTGGAGCAATTTAAGAGAAACCATTGTTATTATTTCAGATCCCTTTATTTAGATGCATGCTTTTTCTAGCCTTTTAAATTTCTTCCTGTCAAATACGTATGTGCAGCCTTCCACCTTCCCTTTAACAAAGCAGATCTCAGTTAGGATTCATTCCCCACTCTGAACAAATTTGGTGTGAAACAGACTGGCTGTGGGGATGATGGAAGTCCTACTCATCTGGAAGGCTGGTTGGGAAGAACCAGGTCCCCATCCGTTGGTCATGTATTGACCAATTTAAGAAAATCATCTGCAGGAGTAAAATTGAAATGGCTCCCTCTATGAGAAAAGGAATAACCTGAGAAATAAAATAACTTGCCCAAGAGTGCACAATAACTACAGAGGTAACTCCCATTTGTCAGCTTCCCCTGCTATTCATTGAATAACCTGTCTGTGAATGCATTACCTTTCAGATGCTTTATTCACCTAAGTGTTCTAATTCTTCACTGCCTGAAACCGTCTCTGTTTTTACTTAGAGCCGAGGTGGCTCAGTGGTTAAATGCAGCACTGCAGGCTACTTCAGCTGACTGCAGTTCTGCAGTTCNGTTGCTGGTGCAAATTGGGATAATCAGAATAGTTCTCCTCGGGTACACACACACACGCACACACACACACACACACACACACAATCAGACATACACTTGTGGCTTTTCATGAGCAATTGTTGCCATGCGTTTCCAAAGGGAGGAGGAAAAAGCAGGTTCTGCGTGAGAGAGAGAGGTTGGAGGGGGGAGAGAAAGAGAGAGAGAGAGAAAGAGAGAGAGAGGGAGGGAGGGAGGGAGAGAGACTCTGCATTTCATTTTAGAAAATGCCATTTATAATTGCTCACACTGTTTCTTGGCTCAGAAGATGAGTTGCGTTGCTTGAAATCACCCGGCATATTTCGTCCTGATTAACAAATACTCCGTACCTTTTCAGGAGCGGTGGAGAAGACAGACGGGATGATTTATTTATTTTAAAAAACTGCAAATAAAATGGAAAAGGATAACAGGAAAGAAATAGATGAGCCAGTGATATAAAGCTTCTCTTCCTGTCCTCACCACCCCTTAAATTTCTTTTAATTAGCAGACAAACATATACTGAAAACAGGGGCTCTCCTCATTTGTGGGCAAAAGGAAGACTAAATTCACTATCCTAGGTAGCAGGTTTAGAAGCTGGAATTGAGAGAGGATTAAAAGAATCCTACAACATACAGACCAACTGCCCAGCTTCACTCAGTGTGTATAGGACGATTCAGCAAGGGACGTGATATTGGTGAGTACTGTACATTCCCCACTCCCAGAAACAGAGTTTTGCTTTCTTTAAAACAAAATATCTTTCGTTTGCTCCTGTTCCGTATTTTTTGAATGCCTGGGGGCAGGTGGGGGGGGGGAGTTTTATGACATGCATTTTTTGTTTTGTTTTCCCTCTGGTAAATCTATGGTGGCAGCTCTTCATTGTCCTTCTTTTCCATTCTGAATGGGTGTTTTTGGCAAACTAAGGGACTTAACCTTCGTGCTCACTTTTCATGCTGAAACGTTTATAATGCACCTTACTTTATGGCATTATTGAAGGAGAGGAGATGCCAGCCTCAAACTGCTAGGTTGATAGTTCTTGATAAGAGCTGGATCTGGTCACTGAAGCATTTTATTGCCTTGCATGTTGCCATAATGTAACTTTATAGCCTCATTACTCTTTTGGTCAATCATCAAAATGGGTGGGGGGGAACGGGGACGAGGGATGGACGAGTGAATGACTAGGCAGGAAACCTTGATATAAGTTAATAATTGTCTTTGTGTATTCCTAGCAATTTGGTGCGAAAACAATGACAGAACCAAAGAATGGAGGAGAGTGGGACAAACTCTTGTATATTCATACAAATATTCTCATTCACAGACCCACATTCACGCATACCACATACACAGATATGCTGTTGTTGAGAAAGTTTTGTTTAGTAGATGGAGCTGGGGGGTGTTTGTGATCATCTTGAGGGTAGTGTCACCTTCTGTTGCCTGGTAACAGTCCTTCTCTGCTGTTTTTGCTATCAGATAACAGAAATCCGGTCAATGTTATACATTATTCATCTGCGTTCCAATCAAATAATCAAAATTATTTGCTTGCACTGGGGAATATTTAACCAGATCAAAAGACTCTGGACTGGAAAGCACTGGATTGTTATAACTGGAGGCAGTTTTTGGTATGTGTCCATATATGTCTGTATGCATGTGTGCACATACACACGCACATTTTTGTTAGTAATTATATTTTGGGGTGTTAATAGATACTAGCAGAAACCTCTGTATATTGAAGAATTGCAGAGGCTGGCTGATTCCATGGGCATGGAATTAATAAAATCAGCTAATGCTAACTATTGAAATTACAGTGCTAAATTAGGTTAATAAAGTTGGGGTGTTTTCCTTTTGAGATATACACTTTTAAAAGATCTTTAGAAATGGTAAAAAAAAGGAAACCATCTCTTTCAAAGCCAGCATTTTTAAAAGAGAAGACTGCAATGTCTATGTCATAACTGTTTGGCCAATGCTGGACCTAAACACACACGGTAACTATTTTGCAGAGGAAGAAAACTTACAAACCAGTGCAAGGTAAGAGAGATCCAGGATTGCTGTTTTAAAAAAATACTGTGTGCGTATCTGTATGTGTGTCAAGAAAAATACTACACCTCAGAACTCAACTTTTACCAAAAACCTCTGACAATGTGGTAAGGCTAACTGTCTCTAGCATTTAAAAGCTCTCAGTGTGAAGTCATTTTAAACCTCCCTCATGAAATCCTTAAGAAATTAAAATCGACTGACTCATTTCAAGCAAAAAAAAGAACATCTAATCCTCTTGGAACTTCCATATTTTTTGTTCACCTAGCTGTAATTATTAACATTTCTTTGCTAACAGATATCTGGGTTGCTTAGAATTTTAATGCAGTGAACATAATATAGTCGCCACCAATACTTTTAAAGAGGAAAATAGATAGCAAGAGGTGTTTTAAAAGAGGTGTTTTATATACAGAAATGCCTAAAATCTAAAAACCTTAATGATACATGAAGGTATATATACAGTATACGTGTGTGTTTTGTAGCGATAAATATTGGGGTGAAAGGTACAAAATGCCTCAATGACTATGCTAGGTTAACATAAACGTTGCATATTTGTTCATTAAATTAAGTTACTTTAAATATTGCGGGGATTTTATATTTAAAGATACTTCTTCCTTTTTCAGGACACTGGCTGTATCAATTTGGGCAGCTGAATAACTGACTGAAAAATCCTCCAAGATGGATAGTCCTTTCAAGATGGATTATCTGCTGGATGTCGATGCTGCTTACCGCCTCTTTTACAGTCAAGGAGCTCAAGGTATTGTTTTGAGATGGATATTTATGCGTTGCTCAACATAAAGAGAAGACATGGTGGCCCTCTGGTGGAAAAGGCACCAGGGATAATTAAAGCTCCTTTCCCCAGAATGAGCAGAGAACCGAAGACATCAAAGCAGCTTGATTTGTAGAACTGTATAAAGGAAGTAATTCCACCCCCCCCAAAAAATGTGGAAATGTGTTATGCAAAACAGATGGGTAGAGATTGTGAAGACTGTCTTCTTCAGCTGTCTTCTTCAAACAGAATTATGGGTGCTTTTCTTTCAAATAGTAAATGAAACAAGATAGTGGTGGCAAAAGGCCAGCATTAAAAAAAAGACAAACATTGATAGACTTTTACTGGCCCAGATTGAAGCCAACGTATAATAATGTACTTTCAAAGTTTAATTAATACCTAAAGTTTAAGTGCCTGACTAACTATCGTATTTGCGAGACCGCCTATTGCCACACACCTCCCAACGGCCGATAAGATCCCACAGGGTGGGCCTCCTTCGGATGCCGTCAGCTGGACAGTGTCGGCTGGCGGGCCCCCGGAGGAGAGCCTTCTCTGTGGCTGCTCTGACCCTGTGGAACCAGCTACCCCCAGAGGTCCGGACCTTACCCACTCTCATGGCCTTCANCTCCTCTCTTTCCTCTTCTCCTCCTTTGCGTGTGCGTCCTCCTCCTCCTCCTCCTCCTCCTCTTTTCCACCCCCCACCCCTCTCGCTGTTTCCTCTACCGCACATCAGCTCGCCGGGCGACCCTGCTCACTGTACCCACATTAATGGCGGCTTCTTCCGAAGAGGACATAGACAGGAGACCCATCCGGAGAGTTCGGTCCAAGAGTGACACGCCTTACCTAGCCGAGGCCAGGATCTCCTTCAATCTCGGAGCAGGTGAGTCTCGCCTACCCCGCCTCCAGCGCAAAGCCCTTCGCCTTCCCTCCCTCCAGCCCAAAGCGGCGGCTTTTTCTGCACTCCCCCGCCCTCTTTGTGTCTGCCGGGTTGGGGGGGGGTGCGGTGTGTGTGTTGGTGTGTGTGGGGGGGGAGACGCGCTCTTGCTGCAGGAATGTGCTTCCCTAACACGTCCTGGCTGTCACACACACACAGATAGACACACGCACACACGCGGTTGGCTTTTTTCTCTCTCCTCCTCCTCCTCCTCTTCCTCTTCCTCATCTAGATGCGGGTGTGGTACAAAGCACACGCGCGCGGGGACACATACACACACACACCCAATGGGAAGGAGCCTGAGAAGTGCTTGGGTGAAAGTGTGACATTTCCTGCCAGGATCTGGAGGCCGGTGGAAGTGATCTCAAACTTCATAGGGTGAAGAATCCTGCACTGGTGCCCACATGCCAGCTATACCTGGCAGGATCCACGCTTTCAGCTTCTCTCCTATTCCCCTAGTAGCCCTCTCTGAATGTTCCTCGACACACCCACCCCTCCTTCCTTCAGCTGACACACTTTCTCATACCCTCAAATTTCACCTTCTCCCTCAGGGGCCCCTATTTCCTCCTTCAGGTCTTCCAAGGTCTGCATTCCCCTTCCTGCTCACAACCTGTTAGCTTTCCCGGTTTCCTTTTAGTCCTGCTTGCATTTTCCAACTCAAACTTCCCATCTGAACCCAGGAGACTAGTTTGTGACCCCTATGATCTAGGGGGGAAGGGGTTGAGCGTGATCCCTCACATCTGAAGGTTCTCCAGCCGAGAAGGGATATTTTCCCTTCTCTTCCTGCTTTCCACTTTCTCCCTGGTCAACCTTCCTGGTGAAGAACCCCTTACTTTCTCATTTGGTTTTCCTAAGCTGGTCGTCCTCCTACCACCCCAGTATGGTATTTCAAATGGTTACTAATTATTAATGCAGTGGTTTGTACAATTGCTCATGGTTATCCTATGCTGAAAGCATACCGTTAATGTCAGAAGAAGATATGAAACATGAAGTTTTACCTCTGTCCTTTTTAAGTTCACATTAAAGATACAGGAGCAGAGCCAATGAGATTTGACTCCACTTTGGGCCGGTGGTCATGCTCTCCTCCACCCCCAACTCATTCTCCAGCCATTTCTTATTTCTTTATGTTCCTCTGGCCCACATTAATTTAGCTCACTGATTTCATTACCAATTTCTATTTGTAGTCTTTATATTTTTCTTTCTCTTTAATGCACATCGACTTTTCCTTCCATACCAGAAACCTATCCAAGACTTTTGTCTGAAATGTGACCCTGTCTCTGGATCTTTGTGATACACTTTAGTCCAGACCTGATTATCTCGCTCACAATTTAGTCCTGGATGAATCTGGTTCTTTCAAGGGAAAGATTTTCCCCTTAATACTTGCATCCCAAGCTATGCCTTTCCTCCATTTGCCCTTTAATACTGCAGTTTTTAGTCCTAATTACCCTCTCCTGTCACCTGTTTTTCCCAGTTCTGAAGGATGACTAGAGAAAGGGAAATCTGTATTTCCATACTGCGCTCCAGTTTGCTTTTTGAAAATGTTAGATACACATCTTTCTTGATAAAGAAGCCGCAGAAACAATTGTTTAGCAAAACCCAATGATTTCCGTTAATTAAATGTATGGATACTGATATCTCAGCATATCTATCTGATGGAATGATGTTTCTCAACTCCTTAAAACATTGTTTGGACCAGAGCCAATGGTTTTATACTGGCTTCTATTGAAACTTGGTGTGTGCTTCTTCTGCATCTTCATGACCTCACTCACATTTTGTATCAAGTAGGATGTGAAATAGGAACAACTCTGCATATTCATTTGATCAGATCAAGTTCTGGACAACATTGGTCTTGTCATATTGGCTTACTTATTGTCACTGGTTTACTTTAATAGCCCAGGAATTGAAAAAGAATATTTTGGATTATTGAGGACATATACTGATGACAAAAAAAGTCAGAGGATGAAAGATATTGTATAGCATGACGGGATAGGCATAAGATGTGTCACTGAAAAGGAGAAATTGCATGGTTTCAAAATTGCTGAGTGCATGGTAAACAATTTTGTCATAAAAGTATTAGTTGAAGAAAAATCATCTTCCACCATTGCCTTACTTTATAACAAATAAAAAAGAAATTCTACCATTCTACATGAAACTCAATGGATTCTTGCAAGTGGATTTAATTTTAACCAAAGAGTAATCTGCACTGTCAACATTTCAGTTTAACATATACATATACATATACATATACATATACATATACATATACATATACATATACATATACATATACA